CCCTAAAACCAAAAACAACAAAAAAGTAAGGACCAAGGCTCAACCCAAGACCCAAACCTAGAAACAGGCCACAGCTGCACCTCAAGCTCCTGATGGTGCCCAGGTCCTTCCACAAAGAATCCATGAGAGGTTCTTGTCTGCCAGTGCGAGGCCAAGAACTAGTGGGATCCCCAGTTGCTGTTAGCATGGATCTTCCTGTGCTATTTGTACAAGTAAACCTGAGCAGAGGATCTGTCAGTCCAGAAAAAAAAGAAGGTATCACATGCACAGAATGAGTATCTGATGCTCCTCACATTGATTTGCAAAAAATTGAGAACTTAGTCTTAGTTCAAATGTATTCAATTTTACCCTAGGGCCAGAGAGATAGTCCAGTGGACAGGGCACTTGCCTTGCACGTGGTCGACCTAAGATCAATCCCCAGCAACCCATAGGGTTCCCCGAGTCCACCAGGATGCAGAGCCAGGATAAACCCCTGAGCACAGCCAAATGTGGCCCAAAATGAAAATAAAAAAAAACAAGTGGAGTTCATGCTCAATTCAATCAGCCTAATCAATGGCTGAATAAATAGCAGTACTCCTACATTAAAAAAAAAAAGTTGACTGGAAGAAAATCAATGTAACACTTGCAAGCAACATAGGCTGCATTAGGCAGATCCAGGAGCCAATTTCACCTAAGTTCCTTCACCCATCTGAGCCTCCACATGATTATCTACAGTCTAGGGCCTCTACTGTGTAACTGCAGGGCACGACATTATGTAGATGTCTACAGAACATCACCTCAGTGTCCAAGACATAACAAGAATGACAAAAAGCTACTACTGTCATTACTAACTTACAAGTAGAGGGATTAGCAGTAGACTCATGGGGCCAGAAAATTTGAGACTCCAATCCTAGGACTGCTGGGTGATCTTGAGCAAGTGACTTAACTCCTCTGAGCTGCTTACTCTTCAAAAATAAATATTAAGGGCAGGGAGCAAGCTCCATTGGGAGAGTGCATGCTTATCACTTATAAGACCCTGAGTTCAATCACTGGCATGGCACACCTCCAACCCGCAACACCACCCGGATGGTTCTGGTAGTTCAGTACCTCTGTGCCCACACTACTAATGAATGAGGGACTGGATCCCCACACTGTATTTCATCCCACTGCGGCATGAACCCCAGGCATCAGCAGGGGGTCACTCCTGAGCACTGACTCAGGAAGAGCCCCTAAGCACCCAAGGTATGGCCCCCCAAATCCCACAAAAAGAATTTAAATAAAAATAGGGACCTGAGAGAAAGTAGAATGGGCAGGGTGCCTGCCTTGCATGTGGTCTACCCGGGTTCAATCCCTGGCATTCCATGTGGTCCCGCAAGCCTGCCAGGAGTTAATTCCTGAGTACAGAGCCAGGAGTAACTCCTGAGCACCACCAGGTGTGGCCCCCTAAAAAAAATAGTAATTAGGGCCCAGAGTACAGCAGGTAGGGCGTTCAATCCCCAGCATCCCATATGGTCCCCGGAGCATCGCAGGGAGTAATTCCTGAATGCAGAGCTAGGAGGAACCCTGAGCGTCCGGGTATGACCCAAAAAGCCAAAATAAATAAAAGTAAAGGTAAAGGCCCTCCCGTTGATCGTCGATTTGCTCGAGCGGGCCCAGTAACGTCTCCATTGGAGACTTTGTTGTTACTGTGTCTGGCATATCGAATACTCTCGGTAGCTTGCCGGGCTCTCCGAGAGGGGCGGAGGAATCGAACTCGGGTCGGCCATGTTGGCCGCGTGTAAGGCAAACGCCCTACCCGCTGTGCTATCACTCCAGCCCTTAAAAATAAATAAATATCAGGTTATTTAGTATATGCAATGGGATTTTAGAAAGATAATAACATGTATGGGCCAGAGCAATAGCACAGGATAATAATATGCATGGGCCAGAGCAAAAGCACAGCGGGTAGAGCTTTTGCCTTGCACACAGCCAACCTGGGTTCGATTCCTCCACCCCTCTTGGAGAGCCCGGCAAGCTACCAAAAGTATCCTGCCCGCACAGCAAAGCCTGGCAAGCTCCCCATGAAGTATTCGATATGCCAAAAACAGTAGCAACAAGTCTCACAATTTGTTGTGAGACGTTACTGGTGCCCGGTGGAGCAAATCAATGAACGGGAGGACAATGCTACAGTGCAGTGCTACTTCTGATGTTGCTGGAAAAATAACATGCACAATGGAAAGCACAATTTAAGAGTTCGTTATTGCTAACATGCAGAAAATTTCTCAGAAGAAACTTTCTTAAAAGGAACAGAAACTTGCAAGCTAAAAACACAAAGCTATCTTGAAACAGAACTGCTATCAGGGAGAGGGGGTGGTCAGGAGAAAAATGGGACAAAGGCAGCTGTGGAGGAATGAGTTCTGGAACACTGGATGACTAACATTCAATGAGCAACTTTGTAACAGTCTATCTCAAGGTGATTCAATAAAAAAGTAAAAATAAAATTCAACAAAACTGTAAACAGCCTGTCATAGCCATAACTAACTATCCTGGGGCAGACCTCGCCATCCCCAGCTAGAAGCAACTAAACAAATACCGCCAGCATCATTTCTGAGAACCAATTAACATAGCATTTAAGTCCAGAGGTCTTGAGAAATCAAACTTTTCAGCCTCTTAATTAACCTGAGGTAGCACCAAGAATGCAGCTTAATGGCAGGGCTCATGCCTAGGCCCGGGTTTCAATTCCCAGCACCATAAAAAAGCAAATGTGACCTAGAGTGTGTTAAGAGGTTAAATTTCTACAGATGTAAGAAAGCGTCCTCGCACTGACTATAGCAGACCAAATTGAATGGGGGACCAAATTGAAAGAGAAAAACATGGAATGTGCGCAACTTTGAGACTTAACCAATTAAGCCTCTTTTGATCCTAGAAGAATATAAAACAACTGAGTATTTTTAAAAAGAGGTTAAATTACTGGGCCAGAGAGATAGCTTAAAGGCTGGAGTGCACGCAAGAGCCTCCGGGCTCAATCAATGACTGTACGTCCCCCAGCACTGCCGGGAACAAGCTTTTATCCAGCACTGCACAAACAGCCCCCGGCACTGCCTAGTATGGCCCCCAAACCAGACAGTTTAAAAATAACATAGAGGTGGGGCCAGAGAGATAATAGAGCAGGTTAGGGCGCCTGCCTAGCACGCAGCTAACCTGGGTTCAATCCCCTGAGTACCACCAGGAGTGAGTCCTGAGCAGAGCTAGAAGTAATTCCTGAGCACTGCTGGGTGTGGCTAAAAGACAAAAAAAAAAGGAGGATAAGTTACTTTATCCGTTTGCAGTTTTAAGGATCCCATCTTCTGAAAAACAGTAATTGTCAGGAGGGCTGTGAATGTAGTTCAGAGGTTGAGCACTTATCTTGCATGTAGGAAGCCATGACTTCAATCCCTGGCTTCACACCAAAATGAGATGGTAGTAATCTTACAGGGTTGTTCTGAGAACTAAATAGGACTGTGCAAGTAAGTATGATTAACGTGAATATTACTATTCCTGGTTATGGGCAGTGTGGAGGTTGTATGTTTGTGCATCATAAAAAACACCACGAGGTTCGTCGCCAAACTCAGTGATACGGAAGCCACTTAAGAGACCAGAGAGGTGAAGTAAGCGACCAAGGTCGCACTGTTAGTTAACAGCCCAAAAAGACAATATTCTAGGTAAGACTCCACCAAAAATACCGCTCTTTGCCCTAAATAATGCAATGAGGATCCTTCCTTTCTGGGGCTGAAGCCATAGGGCAACAGGTAGGGACCTGGATTTCATCCCCTCGGGAATGATCCCTGAGCGCAGTGCCAGGACTAAAAACCCAGAGCACTGCCAGTGTGGCCCCAAAACAAACCAACAAGAATCCTTCCCTTTTGAGCTGCAAGGGGTTAATGACTTCACTTTTTAGCCAGTCAACAAACCGTTTCTGAGACTAGGCAAGGCAGGCCGGGCAAACGGACTGGCAGGCCAAGCCATGGCATGGGCTTAGCCTAGCCGCGCGCGCGCGCGCGCGCCGCGTTTTCAGTGTTGAAACCAAGCAGTTCCCCTGTTCGATCTGGGGGGGGGGAGGGGTGGAGGCCGGGGAGACACGCAACAGGTTCATTAGATAACTGCTTAAACTAAACGCCATCACCCGGAGTCGGGTGGGGAGACGACGACAAGGACTGGCGATTTGAACGAGTCACCGGCAGAGGGGGGGGGGGGGGGTAGGGGGAGGGAGACCCGCCCGGTTCGTTCGAGAAACGAGCCCAGGAGCCAATGACGTTTGGAGACTTGGAAATGAACTGGAAATGAACGGCTGGTTAGGGGAATGTCCTTGAAGGTGGAAAGGACCAGGTTGGCGTTCGGGATCGCCCGGCAGCATCCGAAAGCCTGTAAAGCCTGAAACCTCTCCGGAGGGCGCGACGGAATGATCTAATACCTGTCCTCCCCGTGTCCTGCTGTGGAAAAAAAAAAAAGGTCGGCATGGTGACGGGGCTCTCGCGGGGCCGCTTTTCGGCGGGACTGCGCAATCCCACAGACACTGCGGGTCATTTTTGCTCAGCGAGATGAAAAGCCCGACCCCCCACATGTTCTCCATGTGGTCGCTCCCGGGAGCGCCCCATGAGCCCCACATGCCGGCGGAACGGGCTCTCGGGGGGGAGGTGGGGGATGGCCCGGCGGGGGAGCCCCTTGCCCGGGGCGCCACCAGATCGCTCCCGGCCCCCCGCCCTTCCCCCCCACCCCGGCAGCTCGCCGGGCGACGGCACATGTCAGCCCCCAACGCCATTTCCCCCCTCGCTGCCCACACGCAGCCCGCCCTCCCCTGGCCGCGGCTCCCCGAAGAGGAACCCCCCCCCCCGGTCTCCTCATGCCTGACCGGTCCCCGGCCCGAGGCTGCCGGGACGGCCAGGCCGCCCCCAGCCCCCCCACCCCCCGCCAGGGTCGAGCCCGCACTGCCGGGCCCCGCGCCCCTGAGGGCCGCCGCCACCGCCACCGCCACCGCCACAGGCCCGGCGGGCCGAGTCGCTCACCACGACGCTAGGGCTGCGGGTCGCCATAACGGAGAGCGCCAGCTCGCGGGCTCAGGGCCGTCAGGAGACTAGGAAGCCGGCAGCCGGGAGGAGGAGGAGGAGGAGGAGAACGAGGAGGAGGAGGAGGAGGAGGAGGAGGAGGAAGAGGAGGAGGAGGAGGTGGAGACACAGCAGGGGGCGGCGCGGCGGCGGGAAAGATCAGAGATTCGTCCGGGCCCTCCCGGCGGCGGCAACGCCCCTTGAGGTGGGGCGGGAGCAGGCCCCGCCCCCGGCCCCGCCCCGAGACACGCCCCCGAGCCAGCCCCAGGCCCGGCTCCGCCAACGCTTGCGGGTTTCCACGCTTGCGAGGTGACCGTGGGAATTTTCTTCCGGAAGAAGCGGTGGGGCTCGTGGTGCGCAGCCCCTTTCCCGTTCTCCCTGTGCCTCCCCACCCCAGCCACTTGGCATCCCAAGCCTCAAAGCGAACCGATGGCCCTAAACTGGGCGCCCGCTCTCAGGGGCCCACCACGTGGTTCCTCTCCCAGGGCGTACCCTTCCTAAGACCTTGGGCAGCTTTGCGCTTCCATTTTTCAGACTCTTGGCCAACGAGTTGGGACCTACAGCCCGAAAGTCGGCCACGGTAGGGTGCAGTTCCCAAGGGTTCTGTGGCCGAGTACAAATGAAGCACTCAGCTTCTCATTGTAGGCTTAGGTTAGTAAAAATATCGTAAGCATTAAAGGAGATAATGTAAGGGCCAGAGCCATAGTATGGCAGGATAGGGCTCTTGCCTTGCACGTGTATGACCCGAGTTCGATCCTTGGCACCGTATAGGGTCCCCTGAGCCCTGGCAGGAGTGATCCCTGAGCACAGAGCCAGGAGTAATCAATCGTTGAGCATCACCAGGTGTGCCCTCGCCAAAATAAATAAATAAAAGAGATAATACATTAACACATATGCGTCAGCTTTTGTATGTTGTTGAGATGGGTGTGGGGTTTGAACTCAAGACTTCATACGTGCAAGGCAAGTATGAAGTTTTCCATTCCCTGACCCGTGTATGTATATGTGTGGACCTAAGTACAGAACTTAGGGTGATTCAAGATCTGTGAGTGAACTATCTAGACTACTACTTTTTTTTTTTAAATTTTTGCCTCCATAATTCCCTTTATGGAATCTGGAGAAACAAATCTTTTACTATTCTCAAAGAAGTTAGGTAAGGAAGCAAACAGCTTTCCATCAGTTTAGCACCAGACCCCACCAGCAGTGCTGCACCAATCGTATTAAAGCCACTGAGAGCTATGAGGACTGTGTGTAGGTGCATCAGTGAAACTCAGCACTGACTGAACTCCCCTAAGGCTCAGTTTCTTCATCTAACAAAGGAGGTTCCTTCTTGCTCTAAAGAACTAGGAGAATTGCAAAATATATTATTTATGTACCACTGGAAAAATAGTACAGGTTAAGGCGCTAAGGGGGTGGGAATATAAGGCAGGACCACCAGATGGACTACAGGACTCGACCACCACCTGTAGTAGAAGAATGTGGCTAATGGGTTTTTTTGAGGCTCAAGAGAATTTCAGATGGTAGGAACCATTTAACTTTTTCCAATAAGAAATTTAGATTGAAAATTTCGATTTCTTTGTGGGTCCCACTTTCCATTTAGAAAACTTTCAGCTTCTTTGTGGTCCAACAAGGTCCCAAAGCACCTAGACTTTTTAAATTGTGGGGTTACATATCATTCTGCTCTCTAGTGATGATGATGTAACTTGGCCAGATCTCAGGGTTTCTACTGGCTCTAACATTTCAGTGTTCCAAACACAGACAGATGAATTGACTTCCAAACAGAGGGGTGGCCACTACAGATACATACAAGCATGCATGCCTGATTGATCCATTGAGTGTTTCTCTGATCTGCTAAAAATGGCAGGAGGGCAGCTGAGGTTCGTCAAGAAAGATGGGATGTGTCCAGGACGACTTGAAACGACTTGAACCCTGTCTGCCAATTGAGATTTACCCTGTGTTTCCCAATCCTCACAGACTGCTTCCAGTCTGTTTGATAGGGAAGCAGATAAAGAGCCTTTTGGAACCAAGCTAGCAAGGAGGACTTGCAAACTACAGCAGGTTCTGAGGAGAGAGGGTCAAGTGCAAAGGGCAAAGAATTCTTCAACTGGGGCTGGAGTGATAGTACAGCAGGTAGGGCGTTTGCCTTGCATGCAGCCAACCTGGGTTTGATTCCCAGAGTCCTCTGGGGTCCCCCGAGCAAAGCCAGGAGTAATTTTCTGAGTGCAAAGCCAGAAGTAACCCCTGAGCATCGCTGGGTGTGATCCAAAGAGCAAAAAAATAAAAAATAAGAAAAGAATTCTTCAGGGGCTGGAGCAATAGCACAGCGGATAGGGCATTTGCCTTGCACGCAGCCAACCCGGGTTCGATTCCCAGCATCCCATATGGTCCTCTGAGCACCGCCAGGGGTGATTCCTGAGCACAGAGCCAGGAGTAACCCCTGTGCACTGCCGGGTGTGACCCCAAAAAAAGCAAAAAAAAAAAGAATTCTTCAACTTAGGGGATCTCCAGCCATATGCTCATCTTTTGGCAGAAAAGGTCTAAAGCTGAAAGGATGTCATAATGGAAAGTGCCATTTTTCAGCCACTTGGAGCCATTTGGTAAAATACACTGGGGCTTAAGTGTGAGTTCAAATTGTGGGTGTGGGACGCGTGCATTTGGTGGTCAAGAACCGCTTCTCCAGGCCAGACAATGGCAACGGATGAACAAATGAACAGGGAACGAAGGAATGGGCCACAAGCTGGTTGGTAATCAGTGACCATTTATTTATTTCTTTTTCACAGCATCAGTTATATAGAAATCGTGAAAGGTGGGGATACACATAGGTGGGTTGAACATTATCATAACAATAAACAGACATAGGGGCTGGAGCGATAGCACAGCAGGTAGGGCGTTTGCCTTGCACGTGACCGTCCTGGGTTCAATTCCCAGCATCCCATATAGTCCCCTGAGCACCGCCAGGAGTAACTCCTGAGTGTAGAGCCAGGAGTAACCCCTGTGCATCGCCAGGTGTGACCCAAAAGACAAAAAAAAAACAATAAACAGACATAAAGCCCCTCCTTGGGGGGAAGTTCTTCTAGAAGAATAATTCAGGGCCAAAATCTCATCTGGGGGTTCAGCACTCTAGATTACCAGGAGATCTGCTCAAGGGCAGGATTCCATCTAAAGGCATATTGCTTTCTCCTTTGCTTAGCTAGTAATTCATTTAAACAATCATATTAAATTTACTTCTTACTAATATTTTGAGTCATTTTGTATGAACACAGTAAGAGATATACTAATCTTAAAGTGTGGCTCTTCAGGGCTGAAGCGATAGCACAGTGGGTAGGGCGTTTGCCTTGCATGCAGCGTACCTGGGTTCAATTCCCAGCATCCCATATGGTCCTCTGAGCTACCACCAGGAGTAATTCCTGAGTACAGAGCCAGGAGTGACCCCCCGTGCATTGCCGGGTGTGACCCAAAAAGTAAAAAAAAAAAAAAAAAAAGAGTAGCTATATAATCCCAGACTACAGTCCTCAGGGCAGTTTAGTCTTTTCTAACCCCAGCAGGGTCATTATTCAGTTACTTATTTTTGGGTCATGACAGAGTTTGTTTCATAACCATGCATGGCGTTTCGCCTGTCCTCTTTTGATGCCAGGGTAGCTTACAGCGTCCCCTGGGTCTTATCGGGACCCTCCTTTTGGGAGTGTTAGAAAGTAACGACAACCAAAGTAAATATGATGGATGCCCAGGAGTAAATATAATTTGGAGTCAATTAACTCCCATGTTACAAAAATATAGCATCAATTGTTTTCCTGTGTCTATACAAAAAGGACATTGATAAACCGTGCAATGGACACAAAGGAAAGAAAAGCACTATAGGATTATTAGTGCCTGATGGAATTGGGTATGCCTCAGGAGCACCGTGGTGGGAGTAACTCAATAAACCTAAGCTCCCTGTGAGAGAAGCAAGGACAAACCAATGTTATCCCAAACTAAATGACATTAGAGTAATGTGTCAGTCGACTGTCTTTCATTTCTTTCTCCATATCCTGGGCCAATAAGGACCAGATAAGTCACCTCAGAGGTGAGTGTTGATTTTTTTTAGTAAACGCCTCCCATTATTTAAGCAAATGGAGCCACAACAAGTGGAAAGAGAAGGTTAGAGAGGAAAGAGAGATCAGAAGAAGGACCCTTTCAGGGAGTTACCTGACTGACCTCTCGTAGAATCATAAGGACACCTTAGTTTAGGATCATAGTCTGGAGGCAGAAATCTCCATTAGGGTCAGACAGGACAGTTGTCCAGGGAACCACAGGTTTGACCCTGATGAGATCCTGTAACCAAGTCATGGGATGGCCGAACACAGTTCCAAAAGGGAGTGGGGGTGATCAAAGTCAGGAGTCCCCGAAATGCAATTCCTCCCAACCTGCAATGACCAGTCACATCCACATAGGCATCCCCACTAGGAGTGATGGGTCCGTGGTCACACAAAGGATGACCCTGAGATACCAGACGTGGCGCCAAGCTTTCCACCCTGACAGGCACGTTAATGAAAGGGAGGTAGGAAGAGAGAGTATGCGACTCACCACGTGAAACGATGTCTGCCAGAGGGGCTGGAGCAATAGCACAGCGGGTAGGGCATTTTCCTTGCGCGCAGCTGACCCGGGTTCAATTCCCAGCATCCCATATGGTCCTCCGAGCACTTCCAGGAGTAATTCCTGAGTGCATGAGCCAGGAATGATCCCTGTGCAATGCCAGGTGTGACCCAAAAAGCAAAGAAAGAAAGAAAGAAAGAAAGAAAGAAAGAAAGAAAGAAAGAAAGAAAGGAAGGAAGGAAGGAAGGAAGGAAGAAAAGAAAAGAAAACCGATGTCTGCCAGAGGTCCAGAGGTGATTCTTCAAGTGGTGAGGCATGATTCCTGAGCTCCAGGGCCAGAGAATCATGGCAAGAGAATCAGTCGCCTGGTCAGGGAGGGATGAGGGCTTGGGACAAGGAGCATCCCTGACCCACTTAGGAGCCCTCCCGAGCCCTCCCATGTTTCAGCACCAAAACGTTAGGCTGGACTCCACTTGCAAGCAAGAAAAGCTTTCTGGAAGGGAAAAGACTACGTGGCAGATACCACTAGAGCGAAGGCGCCTGGGTGAACTCTATTTAGATCTTAAG